TCTTCGAGGGCATGCTTCACCGGGAACTGGTGGTATGGGCAAGGTTTCTTAAGCATGTCGTCGAAGAGCCCGGGGCCCCTGGGGCCTCGGGGATTCTTGCGTTCTGCGGCCATGACCAGGCCGGCCCCGAGGACCCCCTGGTTCCCCTGGCGGTCCTTCTTCTTCTTCTTGGGGAGGTGGGAAGCCGAGGCCCCGGGGGTCTCGTCCTTCCGCTTCCCCTTGGTGTCGTTGTCGGGGAAGATGGCCCCAATGGCCTCTTCACCTGAGGCAAAGTTGGTGGCGATGTCGAGCAGTATGGCCACCGAGGTTGGCATGTTCCGGCCCAACTCTCGGACCAGGTCTCGGCAGGTGGTACCAGAAAGGAAGGCTTGGACAATTTCTGAGTCACCGACACTTGACAGCTCGGTGCATTTCTTGGAAAAGCGTCGGATGAAGTCTCGGAGAGACTCGTCCGGCGCCTGGCGACAACTTTTGAGGTCCTAGGAGTTCCCTGAGCGCACGTATGTGCCCTAAAAATTCCCGATGAAGACCCTAACCAAGTCGCGCCAGTCGTGGATCTACGAGGCAGGGAGGTGTTCGAGCCAAGCTCGCGCCGAGTCTGACAGGAACAACGGGAGGTTGCGGATGATGAGCCGGACATTGTCCGCGCCACCTAGCTGACAAGCCAGGCGATAGTTGGCCAACCAAAGTTCAGGATTGGTTTCGCCGCTATATTTCGTGAGGTTGGCCGGTTGTCGAAACTGGGCTGGGAAATGGGCGACACGGATAGCTCTGCTAAAGACTCGAGGGCCGGGTGGCTCAGGAGAAGGACTGTGGTCCTCCTCGCTGTCGTAGCGGCCACTTCGGTGCACATGGTAGCCTCGGGCGGGCCCCTCACTGTCATGGCGCCGTCGCCTGCTGGCTACCTTGTGCTCATCCTGCGCCTCGCGTCGGTTGCGTAGCAAGGGGACCCTGTGGAGTGCCGACGCCCGAGCAGGCTCGGGATGAACCGAGGCCTCCCTATCCTGCCGAGGCGGTGCTGTGAGAAGTTCCGAGGCGCCACCGTGCCACCGAGAGGCGGAACTTTTGGCCTGCTGCACCGCGGCGGTCTCGAGGAGATCCTGGAGCTCACCATGGACCCGTCGCCCCTCTGTGGTAGAGGGCTCGGGCATTGTTCGGACTAGCATCGCCGCAGCCACGATGTTCTGGCTGGCGCGATTAAAGATTGGGGGCTGCTCACCCCCGTCATCGTCGCTGATGCGGTGGTGAACATTGCGGGCCCTCCGCTGGGCTCCTCCGCCATCACCGCGACCTTGCTGCTCCTGCTCGAGAGTGTCTCGATGCTGTTGCAGGAGGAGTCGGTCCTGTTCGACCTTGGCCTGAAGTTCATGGAGCCGCTCTAGGTCCGAGCGTCGAAGTTGTGCGGGGGCGGGGTTCTCGTTCCGTGCTATCGGCGGGACAATGCGTGGAGGTGTGGTGTCGCCCGTTCCCCGGTGAGGCGGGGAACGGTTGCCCGTCCCCTCGTCCTCATCGCCCATCCTCGGCCTCCCGAGTCCGACGTGGAAGCACTCGCGAGTGGGGTCGTAGGCGCCCTCGTCGTCAGAGTCGGAGTAGCCGAAACAGTAGTCGCTCGCGGCCAGGAAGCGGCGCATGGATTCAGGGTCTCGTAGTCCGGAGAAGTCTGCCCCGGCCCACGCCTCGTCCTCCTCCGAGGAGTCAGCGTGGGTGTGGCTCGAAGTCATGGTGTCGAAGTCGAGGGCGAAGCGTTGGTGGCGTTCTGAGGGCTCTGCGTGAGCAGAGGCGTAGGCTGAAGCATAGGTGGTGGCGGCGTTTCTCAACCCGAAGGGGTACAGGGATGGTGCCATTGCCAGGCTATGCTATGCTCCGCCGAAGTCGATCCCTCAGGAGGCGGTAGGGCAGAGCTGGATGATGGGGCATCGCCGCATGCCGCTGGCGCTTCGCCCGTGTCCAGGCTCAGGCAAGTCAGGTCCCCAATCAGGGATCTTGCGCCTACAGCTGGACATGGGGCGCCGGCAGAACGCGGTGCGTCACCATGAGCTCACGTGGTGTCGGCGTGGCCTCGCTCGCGTCGTGTCTGGCGAACGCGATGAGAGTGGCCGCCCGGGCGCCATCTGCGCCTGGGCTACGAGTGCGTGATGCCGACGTCGGTCGGCGAGGCTCGGGGCGTGAGGAGTACCATATCGTACTCACGTCCAAGAGACATGAACTCTAGGCTCCCGAACCAGATCACTGTGCCGAGACGCAGTGGTCGTACGGGGTCTGCCATCCAGGACTTGTTGGGATGACAAAGTTGACATGCAGAGTCCCCTACCTGGCGCGCCAACTATCGGTGTTTTGGACCGAGGGGTCCTCAACCAACTAGTAAATTTGTACTGCGTGCCCCTAATCTCGGATGGTGATGCAAAGAGACACAAGGTTTATACTGGTTCAGGCAATCAGTGCCCTACGTCCAGTCTAGGAGATTGATCTTGTATTCCTTGCACCGAAGTGCTCGCAGTAGGGGGTACAAGCAGGGCGAGAGAGGGAGCTAGCCCCAAGTCTCTATGATGAACGGGACGAATTGCTCGAGACGTTGATCTAAGTGTGGGTGCTACAGCCTATGTTCGTCTACCTCGTGAGTTCGTATGTGCCTAAGTGTGTTCCAGTTCATGCCCGTCTCCCCCATCCCCCTAGAAACAGCCTCGGTCCCTCCCTTTTATAGTAGAAGGGGGGATGGGGGTGATATAGGCGCTAGTTTTGTGGCGTCGTGTGAACAGAGGCGGCCTGTCCGAGACCTGTAGCCTGTTGCTATGGTGGAATAGTCGATGGAGTGGTTCTGCCCCTGGTCGGAGCAGCGCACCGGTCACATCCGATCCTGTGCGACGTAATAGCTTGATGTAGGGCCTGACGAGCGACGTGCCGGTCGTAGTGCGTTGTCCGCACGAAGTGCCGAGGCTTAGCCGGTGCCGAGGCCGAGCCTTCGTGGGGGGCTCGGCAGGTGTGAACCCCAAGGTTGTCGAGACCCTGAGGTAAATTGTCGAGGCGTGGGTGGAGCGGCTGACCCTACACACTGATTCCGAGGCTACAGGGATCCGAGCTTAACTCCCCATGCCGCGTTGTCCTCGGAGTAGTTAGAGTTAGGCAGCACAGTGCGGTATGGACATTTAGTCGTGGGCACAGTGCTGCGCACAGTGGCCGGTAACTCCTGCCTTGTCTTGTTTCGGGCGGCATGGTGTCGATGTGATTTGCGTCTCGTTGGCCACTCCTCTCGTACGGAGCTGTCATCCGGATGACGTCGTGGGAGTGGTTGGTCGAGGCGGAGGCGATGGGGTGGTTTGCCGAGCCCGTCTTGAATGAGGTGGAGCGTTGGTAACTCGTCCGAGGCCTTTTGGGCGGGGTCTCGGGCGAGTCGGAGAATCGGTTTCCTGTCCGAGGCCTCTCGGGCGAGGCCACTGGTGAGGCGGAGAGTTAGTTATCCATCCGAGGCCTTGGACGTGCCCTGCGTGCGATACGGGGGCCTCGGCGGTCAGCGTCGTACTCGGTTTAGGTGGAATAGCGCGGGACGTGTGTCCACAGGGCACGGTAACCCCTGCACCGTCAGTAAGGGATGGTAAAAACAAGATTTGACCGTTGTCCCATCGCTCCTGTTGCTGTACCATGCCGGTCGTGGCTGACGTAGCGGGTGCTCGCAGGGGCATTAAATGGATGGGACAGCCTGCTAGAGGGACGATCGAGGCGGAGGCGACGAGGACACGGGACGAGCCCGGCCTCGGGCGAGGCGGAGCGGGATCGGGACGTCCGAGACCCTGACCGGGGGCCTCGGGCGAGGCGGAGATTTGGCCCGAGACCAGATTCGGCCGAGCCGGCCTCGGACATCACCGTGAACTGTGTCCTTAGTCTGATTAAGGAGGCCTCATGAGGGATTTATGAGTTTTTTTTCGGCCTTTGCTTAGGGTACCCCTTTTTATGGTACCCGACACGCGCAGAGCATCATCGGTAGGAAATGCGACAGGAGGAGCGGAGCGGGCGGCGGAGTGGATGGACAGGTGATGATAAATTAACTAGATATTTATAAACAAATGTTGTGTCACATGACCCTACACCCCGCGTCTATCCGATACTTGAGTAAAGGTCCGACACTCGTATCAAATAATTATGGTAATATAATCACAATTTCCACTTGTTGAACCTAAAAGGGAATATGTTGTAAGTCTCTTTTTCCTACCCATAAAAGAGATTGGTGGATGTAACAATAGAGAAATGTTATTTGCACATACAGCTATAGATAGTGTCAGATAGTGACAAACAAAGTCACACAGAATTTGTCACCAGGTAATATAAGCACCTAAATTCTTTTTGGCTGGTAAAGTAACTAATAAAGAAAACATATACTGTACTTGAGAAAAAAAAATAAACAATATACTGTGAAAAAATGCAGAACATATATATGTCCCCAAATGGGTATGGTGTGATTGTTAAATGCACTATAAGAAGCAATAAAAATGGTTTTGCTCCAAATTAAAGGGTACGGTAAGTACAGTAGAAGGAAAAACAACAGACAAAAGAAATTTGGGGGCATGAATTCTTATCATCCCCTAATATAGCCAGTACTACTAACCTAGCTAGCTACAGCATTACTGATAAATACTATCTCCTCCGGTATAATTAACCCAGTTACATATATAGTCCAGCAAAAACAAATGTTCGACAGGAACCACACCACCAAGCATGCAGCAATTAATTAGATGATCGATCACATGATTCTACTTGATCTAGCCTGCTCTTGGATTAGTAGCAAAGAAGCTCCTTGCTCACCATGCATGTCTTCAGATTAGGTTGAAACCTGTCTTTACCCTTTATTGCTTCATTGCATGGAATGCAGCAACCTTATACTACTCCCATGCATTGTGCAGTGTACACGTACTATAACAACCTGCTGTAACGGATTTAGTACGCCCATGGATGCATGCATGCATGGCAGGCTGCTCAGGACTCGCTCACTGTGCGAGCACAGGGTTCTCTTATTGCATCCTGCCTCTAGTGAAGGGTGACGAGGCCGACTTCATCTCGGCCTCCAAGGAGCTCATGTCACCGGCACCGTCTTGGTGCCCCCCTCTCGGCACCGTCATCCCCCTCATGACACCACCGCCACCGACGCCAAGGAAGTCGCGCGTCATCTCAGCGCCACCACGGCCTTGGTGAAACTTCACATCTTGATACATGTCATACATCCTCGGGTCAATCATGCTGCCGCTGTTGGCTCCGCCAAACATGCCGCCGGCAGCCAGCGAGTTCATCAAGCTCTGCAGGTGCATCTGGCTCTGGTCGAGCATGGTGGGTGCCCGGGCGTGCGTAGCGGAGGGCGCCGACGAGCCGACGAGGCCCCCAAACACGGACACGCCGCCGCCGTGCGCGCTCGCGCTGGAGCCCATCTGGGACGCCTTCTGCAGAAGCGCCGTCGCGGACATCTGCGGCAGCATCACGGCCGGATCATTGTTGTACATCCCGGCAGGAGCAACTTGGTGGTCACCACCAGCAAAGTTCCCGCCGCCGCTGAAAAGCATCGCAGCCGACGACTCGGAGCCGCCGCCGCCACCACCACCACCACCTACTTCGCTGAACTGATCACTTGTCAGGTGTCCCTGGCTTGCATGGCCATGACTGGAAGTACCTGAGCTATTTGCACTGTTTGCGATGTAGCCAAGGTTGAAGAGACCCGGAGCCGACGACGCCGAGGGACCCCCGGCGCCGTTGCCTTGGAGATCCGGCAGATGCATGAGGCCGTGGAACGGCTTGCCCTGCAAGAACCCGTGGGACCCAGTGCCGTCGCCTTCGCCAAACTCCTGCTGCGCGCCCATGAGGAACGCCGACGATGGTGGAGGCGGCAGGGGGCGGAACGCGGAGGCGTTGGACGTCCCTAGAAGATGGTCAAGGCGGCTCGCGGCGCTGCCGCCGCCGAGCCGGAGCAGGTCCTGATGGTGGCCGTGAGCGTCCGCACCGAGGGTGGATGCGAGGTGGGAACCGACCTGCGAGAGGCTGAGCCCCATGTTGGCCGCGCTGGTGGCGCCGTAGAGGTGGCTGGCGGTGAGGCCTGGGGGCGGCAGTCGGGCGCTCTCCTGCGCGAGGGCGTCGCAGAAAGCCCTGTGGGTGATGAAGCTATCCCTCCTGCATGGATGGATGCATGCAATCACGTGTGCATATGCATGCATGTGATTGACAAGTCAGTAACAGTTGGATCACGCGGCAATACATGTCTGCACGGATGGAGTTCTCGTGACGTGCAATTCAGAAACCAAATGGAAGTTTGCACGTGAAACGGTTACACGACAAACAGAACGACAGGGTTACAGTAAAAAACACTGCATGACGACGAGAATAAATTCAGATCTACAGTAGTTTGTGTACAGTGCCACATAAGCTAAGTATATATTGGCAAGTTACCGAGATGGTTAATTCTAGTGTTTAGGGGAACATTTTATATGGTGAAATGGCCCTTACTATAGTGTCAATGATTGTCAAGCCAACAATAAAAATTTTCGAGTGTTTAAAAAACATTGAAAATGGGCAGACCCATGCAAAAATTTCAAGAGTGAATGATTAATTTTCAAATATGGTGTGTAATACTGTCGAAATGATAAACATAAAGTAGCACTATGCATGTTTCTTTCATAAAAATAAAATGTCACCATTACACATTGTATTGCTCTTGTTCTTATCTTGTGAATACGATTGGGCTTTGTTATTCTTAAGATTTTGTATATGAATTCAATTCAGCATGTGCCCCAGGCGTGACATGATTTTTGTAGAGTTTTTAAAATGTGAACTCTATATACTGGATCTCTATTCATCTCCAAATATAAGGATTTATTTTAGGACCTAAAATTTAAGGGATTCAGACATTCAAAAATTGCTGTCAGATACTCCCATGCGCCAATAAAAAATACAATTCTAGGAGTTCTCAAACATATTAATGCTAGGAAAAATGATGTACTCCCTCTCCATCTCAAAATAAATCAATTTTTAAAATCACCCTAAGTTAAACTATCTTAAGTTTTACCAACTTTATAGAAAATAATATTAACATCTATAGCACCAAATAAGTACATTATGAAAATACATTTCATAATGCATCTAGTGATATTAATTTGGTGACATAAATATTGGTGCATTTTTATATAAATTTGGTATTTAAAATAGTTAGACTTAGGACAACTTTAGAAATTGATTTAGTTTGGACCAGACGGAGTATGTGCCTTAAGCAGGGATAATTAATGTTGCATGACATCATGGGCTAGTTCCCAAAGAAACCTAACTCCACCAGAGCATGACCTTGAATGCATGCAACCGGATCTTGACCCTGTATGCATGCATGGTCATTTTTATCTTTTGGCTAGAATGGGCCGGACCTTAGCAAGAATTACATTATTTTGAGTACAAAACTCAAATGCTAGATTTGTATGTTTTTCTATAGAGGGAGTATAAGGTAGTATTCTACAGCACTATTCATTAAATACCCACCATTATTTCTATAAAGGCATCCCAACCCAGAAACTATGATGGTTCCATGGTCATCAATTAGGGTGCCAACAAAGTAAAATGATGATGTGACATTGAAATTAAGGAAGAGAGATGACGAAATAGTTTTTTATACAAGAAACTATCAGCATGTTCGTTTCGTCGTAAACGATCGTGGATTATTTACTGCTGGCTGATTTGGTGTGAGAGAAAAATACTGTTCCAACTTATAATTAATGATTGTATACGAGCAAGCGAACAGGCTCATAGTATTTTCAAGTTAGGGTGAGTTGCACGGCACAATGTCTGTGACAGCCAAGCTGCACAGTGCGATGGACAAGCGGGACGACCGAACGCTGAGTTGATGCAGGTGGCAGGAGCAGTGGCATGTCGGGAACAATGATACGAAGCGATGTGATAGGTAGATGATAGGAGAGAGAAGACACATGATTGAAAAAAAAATCTTTTGATGAAATCATCCATTGAGAATATGCTACGTGTAGTGTGTACATGACTTGACAATTATAGAGATTATCTCATAGTTTTTAAGTTGGGACCGGCCAGTGGGAATTTCATTCATAGTTAATGAGATGTCACATCGACAAAAATGATGACATGAGACAGAAAATATGAGAAAAAAGAGGAGATGAGGTTCATCTAGATGAAACCCACGTTGCGTTTTCAACACATTTTTTTTACCTAGGGTAATCCCAATTTCCATTACCAACAGAAATATCTATCTGCAACAGAAATAGAAGAAGGAAGAAGCACCTAATTGCACATGTCCGAGTATTGGAAACTAAGTGAAACTCTACTGGGAGTATTTTATTTTATAACACTATGCATGTTTACATACGTAGGCCTATAAAACTGTGAAATGAAACTATACACTATTGTTCATTTGATCGCCCACACGTCATTCTTGAAACCGTACAATAAAACCTAGCACTGGGAGCGACCTAATCGACTAATGAACGTCGTGACTTTCGCTAAAATCTTGCACAATGTGATTTAATGGGGATACATGAAGACTGAAGAGTTATTTCATCTCCCTTAAACCATTCTAGAACTCCTAGGGCCCCTTATGTATTTGTGGAATTATTGGGGGTCTGAGAGAGTATGTGAGATGAACAACATCAGTTTCAGATGGTACAGCATATCTCTCTAGCCGTTGTCTAGTGATGTATGCTGGCTTCCGTAGCTTCAATTTCACACAGTTTTTTTTTTCCGAGTGGACAGGAGTGGCCGAGGCCCCTACAGGGATTTATTTAAAGAGAACAAAAGTCAAAAAGTACAAAAAAGAACAATGTTTGGTTCATTAGTATGAAAACTCTCGGCAGTGCGTTTACTAGTACTTCCAACTCTTTGCCACTAATTAAATGCTGTTACAAAAGAGGCCAATTGTGTATGATAATCTAATCATGTTTGTTGCACTTCTCTCACACGGAGGGCAGCCCGAAATCCCATAAACTCATGTCAATCAAGGAGGAGAAAGCGGAAAAGGGTTAGAGACGTAGCAGGTAGGTTGGCATGCTATACTATTAGCGGCAACCTTCCAAGCGGAAAAGGCAGAGGGGGAAATTGTAGAGGTTGACATTAGCGACCGCCATGGGACACCAAAAGACATCAGAAAAGCTTCCCAGCGAATCTCATTGCCCAAGAAGCCAAGAAGAGCTCCAAGAAGAAGAAATAAAAAGGTCACAATAGTTTTTTCTTCCTGCTAGCTTGTAGTTATGGATACATGAACCCAATGTTCCTCCGTCCAGTATTCGAACTAGCTAAGCATAAGAGCAAGGCTATACAACATGCTGTTGGCTGTATGGATCTTCTCAGCCTATCTATATAGTAGCTAGCACTTTACTAGTAATATATGTCTACTTTCGTCTCTCATAAAGTTTATTGGTTCTGTGCATGAGATGCATGTAAACTCACAGTCCGCATCCGGATCCATTCTCTCTCCTTTTCTTTTTTTTTCACCTCAGCATTTAGCTCATCTACATCCTGCTATTATACTTGCTCTAATGTCCTTACGTGCACCAATATAATCTATAGAGTACTATCAACGACAAGGATTTCGTCGTATGTACCCACATACAATGTGCATAGATGCATTTCCTAAGGAAAAAACATCCACGCGAAAACAAAGCCTATGTACATAATCTCTCCGTTCCAAATTATAAGATATTTTAGTTTTTCAAGATAATTGATTTTACTATGTATCTAGACATAAGAAGCTAAAATATCTTATAATTTAGAACGGAATGAGTATATTCCTATCGGCTAGCTAGGGCCCCGTTCCCCAAAATTATTGATGCAGGAGAGGATATTATTATGCCCCCAATCAATAGATTGCAGCCTCTGTTAATGCATTCCATTTATGCTTGTTTCCGGTTAGATAGATTCATGCCAAACTAGTGAAAGATAGTGGTGTCCACCACTCGCTCCAGCTGCAGCCCAGCCCGGGCGATTCCATCAAATCGGCAATGTGCGCGCGTGAGTGTGCGTGGATCGATCTCTGCGCCTGCTCCTGAGAGTTGCAGTACGTGCATGTGAACTCCCATGAAGAGATGTGATGAGGGCCTGGACACGCATGGATCGGTCAGCAACGTATACACACCCGAGGAAAAGCTGTGATTAAACTGTGAACCTGGCCTGGCTCTCTGACACACGACCAACGGATGGCCCTGCTGGCGCCCTGCTCGGCATCTAGCTAGCCAGCCAGCTCATGTGCAAACAGACCAGGCTACGCGCGCTAGCTAGTTTACATGCATGGCTCGACGCAGCAATGCAACCAAGTAAACATGGCGCCGCTGGCCGGGAGATTGCATGCATGTGCATCTCTAATTCACTTATACAGCACGTACAGTATATATGTGGAGATTGTAGCAGTGACCGACCTCTTGGCTTTTTGAGCCACAAAAACTCACAAGGGATTGACGACGATGGGCCAGCAAGAAAGCTTTGAGACATTCGCATCAACCAGTAGTATCTAGTAGAGCTAGCTAGCTAGTAGGATCGAGTACAAGACAATGGCCGTTTCACGTGCATGCAGTTGCCTGCCTGGCTCCTGCCTGCCCCTCTCCTTTCTCTCTCTCCCACGGGCACAACACAAAACAAAAGGTTGGTTGGTACGGCACCGAGACAAAAAAAAACCCTAACCCTGAATTACGCGGCACTAAACATTCTTTGCGCGTTCACTAAAGCCAAGTTGCGTGCGTGGCATGCACCAGTATCCTTGTACTTTTTATGTCACGGAACGATATGCTGCGTGCTGCGCTAGCAGCACGGGAGGTGTCATGCATGCAACGCAGAAACCGATGCTGATGTGTAGGAGATACGTCCATGGCGCGCCGAACCATGCATGCCATGCTTTCTTCTTGCACTCAGAAGACTAGGCTTGACTTGATGCATGCATCGAGTACACGTATAGTCACGCCGCACAGACGACGCACGTACGTGTAGCTACGTCTACGCGTACTACGCCATACAGGCCTAGCTAGCTATTAGATCGATGGTGACGACAGGCACGTAGTAGTACGTACGCACAGAGATATATATATACAGAAGGAAGGCACGCAGTCGGACAGGTATATAGAAATGCATGTATATACGTACCGCGAGAAGAGGGTGCCGCAGTCGCAGCGGTACTCGCGTGTGCCGCAGACCTTGGAGTGCGCCTTCCAGTCCGATTGCACGGCGTAGCGCTTGGAGCACTTGTCGCACTTCCACTTCTTCTCGCCGTGCTTGCGGCAGAAGTGCTTCTTGATCCCCGTCAGGTCGCCGAGGGCGCGGGCGGGGTCGTGGTGCGCGCACGTCGGCTCTGGGCACAGGTACACGCGCCGCCGCTGCGCCTGCGCCGGGTCCTTCTGCTTCAGCTTCCACGGCAGGTTGTGGCCGCGTCGGTGCAGCTGCAGGTTCTGCTCCCGCTGGAACCCCTTGTTGCACACCTCGCACACGAACCGGTTCGTCGCCAGCAGCGTCTTGGGCGACAGCGCGATCACCTCCGCGTCAGGGTCTGCTGCGTCGTCGTCAATCGTCATGCATGCATTGCACGTAGTATCAATATGATGATGATTCGTGTGTGTTAAATCGAACAGAAATTAGCATCACATATATGTTTAGAGTATATATATGCATGATCGATCGATGCATTATATCATCATCAAGAGCTAGCTCTAGCTGTGGAATGAAGAATTCGCTTGCCGAGCTAGCTTAGAGCGAGAGAGTAATATTGCAGTGTGGTAAGTAAGTTAGGCATGGCATGCATGCATGATTAGCCGGCCGGGCGCCAAAGGGTGGTTGGCGCCACCCAGCTAGCAGTAGTACCGTACTGGAGTAGTATTGTGGGTTAATATACAACATACACAGCTGGAGAGTATATTTTCCCTTCCTTTTTGGTTTGTGAGGTATGGACAAAACAAGGCAACGAGGGGCAGAATATTGTCACGAGACTTTGAGCAGCAAAGGAGCAAAAGGGCATTTGCAAATGAACAAAGGAATTGACGTAGATCCTGCGTCATGGACTCTGTCTGCTGTGTGTATTGATAAGAGAGCGATATGATAGCAAAGGAAGAACGGAGGGAAGAAACAGCTAGCTAGCTCATATGAGCATGGAATCTTGCAAAGATTTTTATAAAATCTACGTTTAACTGACAAATATACGCTCATGATTCAGAATTATTATGCCTTCAGACGATGAATTTAGCTGGGGAATATAGATAGAGCAAGTGAAATTGTGGATTTGGTTGTGCGCTAGCTCACTACTTTTGTCCTGAATTGATTGAAGAGAATTCATTCAGGTGAGGCTACACGCTTTAAATGAAGTACTAGCCAGTAAACATGCATGTGACGACCAGTCCTTTGAATCGAATCGATCAAGATGTGGACAAAAGTGGCAGACACGGGATGACGGGAACACACAAAGATGAAGATCTGGCGAAAAATATAGGACCATTTCATGTAGTTTCGAATCCAGCGGAGAACAAACGAGGAACCAAAAATTCCAGAACCAAGAAACCTAGATAAGATTTCCACAGAAAAAACGAAGAAGCTCTCCCTAGATATGATGAAAATCGCACCAAATCCCGGCCCCATGCATAATTAAGATAGGTATGCACGATTGGAATTGGAAAGGCTATTTGCAAGTTCGGATTAATTACCTGGTAGGTTTCTCTTCTTCTTCACTGGCGGCGGTGATGCCCCTGTCGCCTGGCCGGACCCCGCCGACGACGAAGCGGCGTTGAGCAGTGGCGCAGGAGGCAGCTGCTGGTGCTGCTGCGCAAGCAGTGGCTTCATCTGGTCTTGGTGGTCGGCATCCTTAATTCCAAACATAGCTGCCACAGCCGCCGCTGATGAATTGGATGCCATCACCGCCTCCAGATTTCTCCCTGAGAAGGGAATCTTTTCCCTTTTGGTAGCCCTTGTTTCTGGAGTGTACTAGCTGGGCTGTCGATCGTCTCTATATCCCCCTTCACCAAAACAAGCAGCAGTCTCCAATTCAGGCAAGGCAAGAACAAGCCCAAGTTATCCAAGCAAGAATCAAGACTGTCACTACTCACTACTGGACACCATGCGAGCAAGCAAGCGCAAGAAGATGTCAGAAAGCTAGCTCTTTTCCGAAAGAAGGAGCAAAGAACCAAAAGGAAAGCGCAAAAGGAGATCGAACTGAAGGAAGAAGAAGCGCATATATACCTATCTCATACGTGTGAGTGTGTGGCTTCAAATTGATCTGAAACAACAAACAACCAAGGAATCGACAAGAAGCTGGGGGAGAAACAACAAAGGATTAGGGCTCGTCCAAGATCAACAAAGAACAAAGAGCGCAGGAAATCCAAGGCACGCAGTTGCACTGGAAAACAAGCGAGAAAAGGCGACCGAGCAACAAGCTCGCAAACACCAAAATCCACACGTAGGTATGTAAAAGAACCAAAGTGATCGAAAAAAGGGAGATGGCTTTGCTTCTTGTCGATACCTTCCTCCCAGCTCTTTCTCGAGTGCTACCACTAGCTGTTGCTTGCTCTTCTTGCTATGGTCGTTCTTGCTGGCCTAGCATAGAGCTCATGGCAAAGGAGGAGAAGAAGTGGAGAGGAGGATATGGAGGAGGCTAAGAAGGTTGTTGTCTGATTTCTTTCGCATCCTTGTCATACTTCTCTCTCTCCTCTCTCGCTCCTTTCCGTCGTCCTTCTTTCCACACACTACTATATGCTGCTGTGCTACCTGTATATATCAACCATTTTGTTTTCTGTATTTGTTTTTTTAAGAGAAATCGATATGATGTGTGTAGTCTTTATCTCAACTTTCCCAAGGGCTAGCAGGTATAGTGTGAAATTTAAAAACAGTAACGTGAGAATATACGTACATACAACTCAGAGCAAGACAGGGACGTGAGAATAGAGACAGGGTGTACTGTACAGATGATGCCATTGATGTGAGATGGGGGCAAAGGCAAAGGCTCACGCAGAGGCAATCGGTGTCGTGAAGCGGCTGATGACTTGGGTCCACCGACCCTGGGAGCTTGTTACCCTACGCTCACCACACCTCGCACACGTCCGCTCGCTCGTGTGCGCTGCGCACATGTATACATGAGGTACGTGTGCGCAAGCTCTTTTTTTTTCTTAATGAAGTCCTGCTTTAGATTGTTGCATCGTGTAGATACGTGCAATTAATTATTATGTGACTTTTTAAGTTTATTTCAAACAAAATGCAGAGCCACACATTATAAAAAAAAGGCTTATGTGTGGCAGGAGTTTTTCTCTCCATAATATACACAAAGGGGTTGCATAAATATTTATGACATAAAATCCTATTGCTATATCGCATTACAAACAATTACAGAAGCCTGAGATATATAACTTGTAAGGTGTTGTATATGTTGGAGAATTAAACCTTTCCATTTGTAGAGTTGTCATCAACAATTACCAAGAAGGGGAAGATTGAAAGCCCATAGTTTGATTTTGGTAATTGAGTGACAACCTAGGTGGACTAATATGTGTTTGATGTGAGATACACATGTGATTATTCCACAGGTATACTAGTGTGAGGAACTTGAGCCATGGTGGTTAAGTGGCTTGGATTTGTTAAAAGGCTCAATTAGGGTTGATTGAAGGAGCTTATTGCACATGAGACATGACATGGTGTCATGTGGCTAGGTACAGAAGATCAAGAGACATGGCTTGGCTATGATGGACCGGTTTGCTAGTGTAAAGGGCAAGTCAGAGGCTCGGGTGCGATGGACCATGTGGCGGTGAAGCTAGAGCAAGGATTTGCCGCCGATGGACCGAGTGCCACGGTGAAGAGCAAGCGGAATTGTGCTCGATGAACCAATAATGCCACATGATGACATGAAGTGGGTCATATCATTTACGAAAGATCAAGCCAAGTGTTGATTTGTATTGATTACAAGTGACTTGATGGAGGATGGATGCTTGTGTGGCATCACCAATGGAGGAGATGTAATGGAATGCGCAAGGCGAAGGTATATTTAATTTGTAGAGCATTTCATTTCTCTGGTCTAAGTTGAGTAGAGAAGAAATAGACTGGGTTTAGGATAGATAGTCGTACTATAAAGAAGAGAAATCTTCTAATTATTTGCAACGATTATCTAGTGCCACTGTGGCAGAACCGCCAGAAATAACACACTTTCGGAGTAATCACATATTGTGAGTAACGGCAGGTTACTCACGCTACCAAAAATCTAAGCATAGCAGCTACTCGAATCTGTACTAGTAGGACTCATAGGTAGATATATCTATGCACGTGGTTTTCATAAAATTCCTGTAAAGTAAATGCACATCACATATATATACAGTGATTATAAAAAATAAGAGGTTATGCACCGGGACTTGCCTTGGGCAGGCGCGGTGTCAGCTGAGTCAGTCAGTGACGGCTTCGGGACCTCCTCCTGCATGAGAATCTTCTCATACTCCTCGACAATCTCCTCGAACTCGTGATCGCCGGTGGTCACGATTTCCGCCAACTCGTTCTCTACATGCATGCGATGATGATGCAACACTTAGCATTTAGGCAACAACAACTCTTAAAATAAGAATACGCATACTAAGTTACTAAGTTAGCTCTAATGACTAAGGTACTAAGCTAACTACCATCTTCATCAAGCAAAGTGTTGGGTTCAACTAACAAACCCTTAGCTTTACAAATTAAGGATATATCTTTATTTCGACTAATGATTTAATGTATATTGAAACAAAGAGCATTTAACTACCCTAATACTTAGTCTATTCTAAAGCTACAAAAATTATAGTGAGCACATAATAATACAATGAAGCAACTATAAAAATTTTAGGACTAAAGCTATCACCAATTTACCACAAAAATTCCAACAATAATTAACTTAATATTATTAAGCATTCTCAAATGATTTAATAGCTCCTAGTGTCAACACATATAAACATGAACTAAATATACCAACAAATAGATCATAATTTTAGGACCCTAACAAAATTTGTTTCATAATTTTTGGACACCTACATGATTTTATATTAATTACTAAAGATCAGTTCCGAAATTAAATTAGAAAACTATTTCTAGTTCCTTAGGAAAATGAAAAGTGAATCTCTCACACGGCCCACACGCGCATGGCCCATGCGCGAGGCGGCCCTGGCGTTTATGCAAAAGAGGCCTCGAATTTCTTCCAAATCACAACTAAGTACTAACACTATTTCCCCCTCTCTTAGACCATCTCACTTAACCCCCCCATCTTTTCCCACCCACGCACACCGTCGGCAACTCAGTGCACGGCGGCGCGGCGAGTTGCGACACTGGGCGCCTACACCAGCCACCTAGGACCTGCAGGGGCCCACCTGACGGGTCGACCACCATCTTCGATCTTGGTGGCTATGCTAAGTGGTGGTGAGGGGTGGCGGGACTCGCTGGGGAAGGCTGCAACGGTGTGCGGCCATCCGCGACAGCGAAGCAACTGTTCCGGTGAGCTCAGGCGGCTAGAAGTTTAACCAGCTAACGTGCGAGCAACAGGGGCTCACCGTGGACCTGGCCGAGGTGGCAGTTGGAGTGGAGAACGACGGAGAAGGGTTGGCCACGTGCGCCCGAGCTGTGCAGCGGCACAGTCGCGTCAGCGATGCCGGGGAAGCGATAGAGGTTCGGCCAAGGAGCGCAGGGCAAAGAGGGGATGGAAGCAAAGTTAGCGGTGCACTCGAATTGGTTCGGGGTGGACCGATGGAGGGCTACCCTCGGCAATGGCCGAGTGCGTCCTTATCGACATGGTGACGAAAAAACCCCAAATTGGAGCTTGGCCATGCCTGCTTCAAGGTTGGGTGGGGTCGGGCAGCTAGAGGATTTAATGACGAGGTCGTGGACGCGTTGAATCGGATTGAGCTGAACTCTCCCTGGCTGATTGTGAGGGCGCGGCTCTGACGGCAAAGGCTGTAGGGAGAGGGGATGGGTCCAAGCTCTGGTCGTCCTCACCTTGGCGGCAAGCGGTCGGCCGGACCCAAGGCAGCGTCTGCGCACTCGCTACGTGACAACGTGGCCAGACCACATGTGCGCGCGGAGGCAAGTGGGGGCGCGGCATGCGCGGCCGCAGCGCCATTATGGCGAGGCGACGGCCCCGAGGCAGCCGGGACAACCCACGTGCGCGCGGTGACAAGGTGAGCAGCAGTAGCGCAGCACGGCGTCACGGTGATAGCAGCACCATACGGCAGTGGCCAAGGGCAGTAGTGGCTATGCCCCGACAGCTTGGCAAGGCGGCAGCGGCGGTGACAGGGACGTAGTGGCGAGGGAAGCAGCAACGCAGTGGCCTGTAGTGCCAGGCCACAGCCAAGCCATGGTCAGGCTAGAAGCAGCCTCGATCGGCCACATGCGGCAGCGCGTGTGCGCGTGGGGCAGCCAGCATGGCGACGCCATGCCCCCACGTGGCCAACCAGCCCGAGACCGTGTTGTGCATGAATTTTAAAGCGTCAATAGCAACTAAACTGTTGAGGTTGACACTAAATCACCTTCACTATGCTAAAGAGGGTCTATTAGGCTACCAATCCGAGTTAAAACACGACATCACCTCTTAACTCAATTTTACAAAATAAATCCCCAATCATGGCATTGTCTTGTTGTTAATAAACTTAAAGAATCTACTAAGTCTTGAGCTGAATTCAATTTCAAGTTCCATTTCTAAGCTATTAGAAATACTAGCTAGCAATGTTATTTTTCTACAGCAAGAGTTGCATTGTCATCTACAAAGTTTGTACTTCAAACTTTATTTAGGTGTCGCACACATGTTCTATAATATTTTTGCTCAATAAAAATTGGTTTAAAACCCTACTTGATAATTGCCTGAGTTATGGAATAACTTCTCGTTTAGCATTTTTATTGATTATTTTAGGTTGCAATACTTCATCTATTCATTCCATCACATGTATTATCACGTAAACATGATGCTCATGACATGATTTGGTAATTTGTTTAGGGCGTAATACCGAGGGTGTTACAGCCACTATGTGTGAGTTTCATTTATTGCATATGCATTGCACTTAGTGACATGGTGAGGTACAAGAGAAAAATGTTCCAAAATGCTAACTCACACACTTGATATGTTGGAATACTTGGTGGAGTTGAGCACATTTAAAAGGCTTTGAAAATGAAGTTTGGCGGGCTATTTCTGTAATCCTCGGAATTTCCCAGAGGGCCAAAATTTATGATGAAATTTCCTACTAGGGTGCTCTGGTTCGCTTGTCATTTCTGGGTTGAAAATTTCAAACCCTGCTTGAAATTTCCGAGCCCCTGAATTTCCAGGCTGAGCAGGAGTGTGATGTGCACTGGCATGATTAATTTTAGAAATGATTATTCACTCTCCTCTAGTCTGTCATCTCGACCCACAATAGGTGGGCATCATAAGAGGCCCATCTCTACAAATAGGAAGTTATCTTAACATAGACAGTGATGACACATGCTTGTCGATCATATACGGGATCCAAAGACATGGCCATCTCCATGTTCTGCGGGTTTAGGAGCTCCACGCCCGTCTTTAGGGGCTCTAGCAGGCCATCGGTGTAGATGTTGACCTATTGTTGCTCATCAAGGGACCTGAAACATGCCACATGTGCCAGGAAGTGCTGGGTGTAGTCATTGATGGTGTTGGTCTTTCGCAAGGACACCAGCTCACCTAGTGGGTTGCATCAGGTCGGTGGCCCAAAGCGCTCTTTGACGCAACGAGGGAAGTATGACCAATCAGTCACTGCCTTGTCCTACATCAGGCACATGTACCATTGTCAAGCTCCACCTATGAGATGAAAAGAGGCATACCATACTTTATCGCAACGATTAAGCCACGATAGTGGATCCTCCTTGCCATCATACGTGGGGAACAAAAAAATTGTGTTAGTGCAATTGGAGGATGGGAAAGGAACCGGTGCTGATGACGAGTGCTAGTATGACTAGGGCATGGGCATCTTGGGTAGCACACCCCATCTTTGGCACGGCGATGAACAACTTGTTCGTCACTTGCTCCATGATCTTAGGATCCCCGACAATGTTGATCCTTCCCTCTTCTCCTTGAGGAAGGTGCGTCCGACTTTCTCCATGGCACATTTGGTCTCCACCTCGAGCTCCTTGGTGGCGGCCTCGCACTCCAGCTTTGCCTTGGCCACAACAGTGACGTTGGTGTTCTCCTTGGAGCCTCCGTGCTCCATGTTTCTCAGGTGAGCATCGACATTGACAAGGTGCTCCTACACCTTTTCCATGCGCTTGTTGAGGTCAGCGACAAAGGCATCAAACCACTCCATCTCCGTGGACATGGTGGTGGTGTTGCCCGTGGATGCAAAATGGCCTTCGGATACCAGGTGTCACAGTCCTGCTAGGAGGGTGTGTCGGCTGTTGTAGGTGTCGTAGGGGGGAAGAGGGCGGCAACAGCTAGGCCGAACAGGGTAGGAGAGAGAGAGAGAGAGAGAGAGAGAGAGAGAGAGAGACGCAACTGCTCAATTCTTGCTTAAGATCAAAACAATTACATGACCTCTATATTTAAAGTCCCTATAGGACTTGACTCCCAAGCAAACTAGAGGAGTCCTTAACTCTCCTTTCCTAACAACTAATCTTAGTATTTTCTAAGCAATGGACCCTCATTTTCTAAACAAACTCTATTTTATTTATTCCAAACTTACCCAAATCTATCTCTAATTTCTATCTACTCCAGATTCTCCCGGGTGAGAGGGGTCGGTGGGGCTGTCCCCCCCTAGCCCTTGCGCCCCCCCCCCGTGAGGCTGTGGCTAGCTAGGGCCCGGCATTGGGCCTCGCTTGGCCCATCATGACGGCCCATATTTAGGTCCATGACAAAAGATATGGAGTATACACCAATGGTAAATAGTTCACATGTGCTGATTTCTCTATTAGGCTTTTTAATGGAAGGAAATCCATATGTACGATGGCGAATGACCACAGCCATATATCTCAGCCCCCCCTCCATGTTGGGAAATGACTATTTCTAGCTATCTCACAGGTCACAACCCTTTAGCTTCACTACCAGAATGCCTAGCTTTGCCATGTGTCCACGGCACACGGCCAAGCCCAAAAAATACTCGGCAAAGCCTTTGCCGAGTGTTACACTCGGCAAACGGCACTCGGCGTACACAGTGCCGGCAAAGGTTTCTTTACCGAGTATTTTCTATCGTGCACTCGGCAAAGATGCCCAAAAACACATGGCAAATATTTTTCCAAAAAAAACCAGCACCACCATGCCAGCCCCTCCACCAACAGCGCCGCCGCCATCGCCAGCGAGCTCATCGCCTCCTCGCACTCGACTGGCTCACACAGCTCCTGCGCCTGCCACCACGCCCGCCGCCGACACGCCAGCTGCCGCCACCACGCCCATCGCCAACACGCCACCACCAGCACCACACCTCCCGCCGACGCCACGCCGCCACCACCACCACGCCTCCCGCCGACGCCACGCCACCACCAACACCACCACGCCACCAGGAGAGAGAGGGGGAGCGGCGGCGGCCGGATTCGGGGAGGAGGAGGAGGGGAGTGTAACACCCCAGGTGTTTGTCACCAGTTAAGCAATGGGTTTGAGCTCAAACATGGCATGTTAAGTGGTGATGAAGGTGTCAAGATCAAATCTACAAGAGTGAGCTCCAACTTAAACTCGGGCAACACACCTTTGCTTGCATATTGGCCCTTTTCGGATATTTACCTAAGTAATGTTGAAGGTGCTTATTTCATGTGTGTCACATCAATTTCCACCCACATGAATGATTGGAAAAGTTTCATGAAGTTTGGAATCAAGAAGTCACATGAAATGATAAGTTATAATCTGTCTTGGATTGCTTTATTAAGTGAATGGAATTATAGGTCATCAACCAAACCTTTCTGCCTTACCCAAATGACTCTAATTGAACTCTACAACAAAAGTCATGAAAGGTTCGTGTGGAGCATAAGTCAAGAAAATGCCCCAATCAGTCAAAAACTCTTATTTGAGCTTTACCGTGATGGTAATTTGACCGGTGTTGACCAACCACTTACACTCCTTGCATGGAGTTGCACCTTAAACAAAAGTTGAAGATTGAGTAGAGTAGAAGAAACTTTGTTTTTGTACCAAGAGCCATGTCAACTTGGAACTAAGTCAAATCGAGGTTCAAACTTTGAATCGGCAGCTGTTTTCGGTACTTAGAATTTTTCTAAGTCTGGAATTCATCGTCGTCGACACTGGCATCTCACGTTCTCGTGATTTTGTTAAGCAACATGATCGGGTCCCAAAATAAAAGTTGGAGTATACATGATGGATATGAGCATGTATAATGATGGCACTCGTGTGACTTCGATTGGACCATCAATTTGGATTTTTGTTCATCGCTGTCAGCGCGCTGACACTATCACTTTGGAGCCTAATTACTCACTGATCCAGAGCTCTAATGACTATGGTCTCTAAATGAAAAATGAAGACCAGTTCGCGGGCTTCAAACTTCGTTTTTGGCCCAATGTCCAATTCGTAGCCGAGACGGCCCAAATCGGCTCCCCACCTCACCCTCACCGTCGCCCGCCGCGTGTTTGTCAGAATGTCTTCGTGGTGGCCATGCACCGAGCGCGCCCCCACCATGGCCAATGCGCGTCCGACCTCCATGCCACACGCCGCCTCGTGCCCTGCTGCTCCAAAACCAAGCGCCCGAGCGTCTCCACGCCTCCCTCCCTCGCTCTCGCCCTCCCTGGCGATCTTTCTCTAGCGCGCGCTCACGCCAGAGCACGGCGGTCATGGTTGCCCGAGCTGCTGTGCTGCTCCTCCTCCACAGCGTGCCTCCTCCAACTCCTCCAACCTCTCCCGATCCCAATCATGTGGTGGCCACGCTGCTCCTCCGCCGCCATCTCTTCTCCGGCCGAAGTCGCCGCCATGCTTGCCGTCGCCAAAGACGCTGGCCTTGCAAGGCAAATCCTTAAGCGGCTTAGTTGTTTTGCTGCTGCTCATTCGCTACTTGGCTGGCCGGGTCGGTCGCGTAGCCACATCTGGTCATTGCCAAGCCCCAATGTGACCTCTCCTTGTCGCCACCGCTTCCTCATTGGCCGAAGTGGCTCCTGCCGATCCGTGGTTTTAGAAGACGAGGGACCTCGCGCTTGAATTAAGGAAAAGGTAAGGGGTTAAGTGAAGAACCGTAGACTCATTTAAATAGTGCCTGAAGGACCTATTCGCTGAAGTTGATTTATGTTTTCTGTAGGGACCCCGATGCAAGATTTACATTGCTTTTCTTTGATTTTGCCAGATTTGAATGATGAACTTTGAAAACTCATAGTAATTAGTATAAAAATCGTAAAATAGTAAATGAGGACTTTTTGGAATCCTTGTGAAATTATCTATGCAGTAGATCTATAATATGTCATGTTTTAGTTTAAAGTTTTAGTTGCAAAAATAGATTTGTGCAGTAAGTTTGTAATGCTAGTTGAATTTATTATTTTCCATAACTGCAGATATAGGGCTCCAAATGAAGTGAAATTTTGTGGCATGCTACTAATGTGGTAGTTGATGTGTGGTAAAAATTTCATGAGTATTGGATAAAGTATGAGTGAGTTATTGGTTTATCTCGCTCTCACATGATTTCTTGCAATAGCAAATTGTCTTTCTCGTTGAGGCAACTATACTTATGCAAATAGTATGAAATTTGTACAGTAGACTATTGAGAGGATATGTGAGCTACTGTAATTTTTGTAGAATTTATTGTGCATTTTTGGTATATGTTCATAAATACACCTTGATGTCTAAATAAATTAAGAAATGCTTTAAGAAAATTTATTTAGAGGTGAGCACCATGCTTTCTGGTGTTCTTTAGTCATGTGTGAAATGTTGGTAAGGTTAGTTTTTCCCAATTATGTGTTTGCAACATAAGTTAATAATTATTTTCTTGCCGATGTGGTTTATGGATAGATCTAGGAACTTAGCAAAGTTCTTTATGATAATATGCTTTGTTGTGAAACGTGTTTATACAAAAGTTGTAGATAATTAATGTATCTAGCTTTTGTTAAAATTTGGTGTCATTTGGCCAAATAGTTTAAGAGTTATGGCTGTTTAAAGTTGGGTTACAGAATTGATTGCTCTCTGTCTTGTTTAGACCAGTTTCTGTAAATATATAATTTCGACCCACTTAACTTGTGAATCATGCTGTGATGGTTATAGATGAAATGTAGAGAATTTTATAAGCTTTCCTAAATGTCTTGTTGTATGGCTATTGGATTTGTATAACTCTAGTTATGATCCAAACATGAAGCTGTTATTTCTAGTCTAGAAATAGACATATGCTAGTTGTGGTTGTTTACTCCATGTGTTGCTAAGTGTGGCTTATGCCCTTGTTGATGGTCAAGTTATGATACTTGTGACCTTGTTAAACTTGTGTCATACTTGATGTGCTTGCTCTCTATAGTTAGTTGTGTGATGTTAGTTAAATAGCTATTGGTATCTATGTCTTGCATAATCTTGTGTTTATCTTGAATGTTTATGTGATGCATCTTGTATTACCATTCTTCATATTCATGCACTTGCATCTTGCATCTCATCTAGGTGCGCTAGATGAACCACGTGAAGGACGTGATGTTGGAGCCGAACCCGAAGACGGTGTATGGTGGACCTATCCCGAAGGTGGAAGGACTGGACAAGTGCTAGAATGGGAGATGCTCACTATGCGAGTGTCGTCTAACAAACACTAACCTAGTGTTGGATTCCAGGCAAGCCCCGGAGCATTATAAGCCTCCCTATTTTAATAATGTCACTTAAAGTTATTCGTATTGCTGCATTATGTGACAGGAGTTGTTTGGAAACACTTGCTGCATATTACATTCCTTGACCAGAAATATCTACCATGAATCATATTTAAGTCCAGGAACGTTTATCATGCTTAGCTCAGCTTAGACCGGTAGAAGTCGGATGATTTCCTGTCACCTACGAGCTATAGGTGATAACTTGATCACGGTTGGCTATATTGTGCTATCGTGGAACATAGCCTGGTAATGTGGAATAAATGGAGACCGGACGGGAAAAAGTTGGAGGCAACCAGACAAGGTTCTAGGGTGCTGTTAGTTTCCGTCTGTGTCGATTAAGGACCGATCGTTGCTCGTCCCTCTTGTCATGTTGAACGCATGCCTCACATTTAGCTGACCGAATAAAGTACGTTTCGACCGTGAAGCTAGTGACACTATTTCGAGCCGGGATAAACTC